TCTAACTGGTATAATTTTTTTTTTTTTTTAATCTTTTTGAGCCAGGGTCTCCCTACAGCCCAGCTGGTCTGAAACTTACTATGTAAACCAGGCTGGCCTCAAACTCACAGAGATCCACCTGCTTCTTCCTCCCAAGTGCTGGGATTAAAAGCATGCACCACCACGCCCAGTTCTGGTATAAAATTTTTAAAAATATTTTATTTATTATCTTTAATTTAATGTATGACTGTATTGCCTGCATGTGTGTAAGTGCTCCTGTGTCCTGCAATTCCCAAGGAGGTCAGAAGGAGGTGTTGGATTTCCCTGGAACTGGAGTTACAAATGGTTATTGGCTGCCATGTAGGTGCTAGGAATTGAACCTGGGTAACCACTGAGCCATCTCTCCAGCCCCACTGGTATAAAATTTTATAGTAGTAAACATCAAATTTTTTAGTTACTATGAGTAGATTAAAGACAATGTCCCATTCTTTTCTCTCACTTATCCCTACTGTGGATGAAAAAAGTTCAAAAGGGTCATAACCAGGAAAAGATTCCCAAAATCCACAAAAATAACAGGCAGATCAAGAATTACTTTGAATACCAATAGCTAGGTGGAGTTAAGGTCACAGACACTACAATCTCACGTGCTCTCCAAGTCTATCTTGAGTCTACCAGCAGTTATTTATCCACATTCCTGTCACACAAAGGGAATCCCATAAACCTAAGCCTACTCATTCTGATACAGTCTGCATTAGTCCACTGAGAATATACAGCACAGCAAATATAAGCAGCTATGTCATGAAGGACATTCTAACTAGCTAAGAAGGTAACCTTATCCAACCTAAGCTATTCTCATATCTAGCAGTCTAAGTCTTTGATGGTGGTACACATGGTGAACTGGGAGCACACACCTCTTAGAAACCTGTCTGTAAAGTAATTATCTACTCCTGCAGTAGACTGAATGAATCAATGCCCCCACCTCCACCACCAAAGTCTGTCAACCAACAACCTGTAAATGGGATTTTATTTGAAAAGGGGCCTTTGTAGACACAATTAAGTTAAATATTCCTCCATAAAAAATGATCCTGGTTAAGAATGAATTCTAACTTCAATGTCACATTCTTAAAAGAGAGAGCAGACAGACAGCAGAAAGAAGACCATCTGAGGGTGAAGGAGTGACAGTGTCTATAAAGGACTCCTGGCAAAACACGGAATGGATTGTTTCTGAGGCTCCAGGAGTAACCAACCCTGCGGATACCTTGGTGTTAGGCTTCAGGCCTCCATAACAGAGAAGAAATGCCTATTGTAAACCAGCAAGTATGGACCGATTGTTTCAGCAACACCTTAACACTAATCCAGTTAAGAAAGTACAAATTATCAAAAAGAAAAAGGAAAAAAATGTTTATATATACATATATATATATATATATATATATCTCAACAGCCAAGTGTGATGGAACAGACCTTTAATCCCAGCGCTGGTGAAGCGAAGGCCAGCCCATCAATATAATGAGTCCCAGGCCAGCAGAGACCCTGTCTAACAAAAACAAAAAGCCAGCAAACAAAAAACAATAGTTAAAAGAGACAATGAACACTTTGGCTATCCTGTCATCAAGAAATGTGTATTGGCAGCAGAGAGCTTGCTGGGGTCCAATCTCCAGTAGTACCAGAAGAAAGAAAGAAAAAGGTTTAACAGCTCAGTCAGTAAAGTACCTGCCTTGCAAGCATGAGGACTTGAGCACCCATGATTAAAAGAAGAAAAAAAAGCTGGGCTGCGTGATATAAGCAAACACAAACACACAGGGACAGGCACCTGAGGAGGGGAGAAGAGACAAGGGGATCTCTGGGCCTTACTGGCCAGCCAGACTAGCTGAATTGGCAAGCCCCAGGTCCCAGTGAGACTGTCTCAAAAAGTAAGTTGATGGCTCTTGAGGAACAACCCCCAGATTGACCTCTGGTCTCTACACATGAGGCAGTGAGTGAGCACACACGTGGGGAATGAGGTGGGGTCAAAAACTGGTATTTCATTATTGTTGGGGTTTTTTAGGGAAAGATTGAAACAGGGTATTCCTATAGCCTCAGATGGCCTGGACCTATGTAGACTAGGCTGGCCTCAATCTCACGGAGCTCTTGCCTCTGTCTCTCTGTATTGGGATTACAGGAGTAATGGGCTGGTGCACCACCATGCCCAGCCTCAATTAATTTGAAATTTAAGAGATGTTTTAACTGCATTTTAAATTGGTCATCATTTTACTTCAGTTCTATAAATCAGTACAGTGATCCACTATTATTTCTTTTTATACAACTATTCTACATAGGGTCAGAAAAGATGCTTTCACTGTGAATAGTCATTTCTCCTTTATTTATTCAGTTTTATGTGAGTCATGGAAAAGAATACTTAGGTTTAAAAGGAACAATATGTTTAAATCCTTGTAATGGTCTGGATGTAAAATGTTCCCCAGATAGGTTCATGTGTTTGTATTCTTGGTCCTCAGTTGATACCCATTTTGGGAAGTTGTAGAACCATTCTGCTAGTATCTTTCAAAGCAAAACCGTGTTTAAAAAAAAAAAAAAAAAAAAAAAAGAGGGAGAAGAAGAAGGAGGGAGGGAGGGAGGACAGCAGAGAAAATAATTACAACCAAAGGAAAAAAAATATACATATGTAACAAATCCAAAGAAACATGAAGATCATGACTGAGCTATGACTCTGCTGACCATTTTTAAAACCCTTATGCTCATTTAGGATATGAGACAATTCTTCATGCCTGGTGTGAGCCACCTTATTCAAAAGCATCTGGACTTCCCTCAGAGCAACAGTTTACTAAACTACACAAGGGATCTCTGTATCTATTGTGTGTTTGGCTCTATTTTCACCTGTCCTAGTAAAGTCACACTGTCCTCAGTGAAGAAGCATTTCTTCATACCTATGACTGCAGTCATCAAGTTCCCATGGAGTATGGTAGGAATATGTTTTAAAGGACAAGCCCAAAAGTTACCAGTGTTGCCTCTCTTTTAAAACAAAACAAAAACCAAATTATTAACCAATCTCTAATTTTGAACAGATACAAGCTGCTGGCTTCCCTAACCCACCTTTTCCATTTATCCTCTAATTTAGGCAAAACTGTCAAGGTTTAAACCTTACAGTTTAACTGTTTCTTTGCCCAAATAGCATAATGAATCTAAGATGAAAATTAACAAATAAAAATCCTTTTGATTAAACTCTAGCTAAGTTTCTCCAGCCCATTCTTTTAAATATTTTATTTTTTCATTATTTTTATGTTATGTGTATGAGTGTACGGCCTAGATGTGACTCATGGAGAGGTCAGAAGAAGGCATCGGATCCCCTGGAACTGGAATTACAGACGGTTGTTAGCCGCCATGTGTGTGCTGGGAATCCAACCTGGATCTTCTGCAAGAACATGCAGTGTTTGTAACCACCGAGTCATCTCTCCAGCCCCTTGAGCCCATTCTTGACTAGGTCTTCTCCTGGTGCCTATATTATCTAAGCACACACACACACACACACACACACACACACACACACACACACCCTGTGTTAGGACTTAAATACTAACAACCTTCTGAGTAAAAAGCTGCATCCCTAGAATTACCCATTCCCCTCTTTTTTAAATCAAGTCTTCTTCAGGCTACAAAAGAATGCACTGTTTATTCTAGCCAACACCTGAAGACAGGGCCTGACCATGCACAGAGAATTTAAAAAGAACTAAGAATAATGAATTTTTTCCTCTGTCCCTCTGGGATACAAATGTATCTCCTACAACTCCAGAGAGTCCTTCCCAAGGACCAGAAAGTCTTATTTTGAAAATGTAATTACCAAGTCTCTCTCCCAGTATCTACAGGAAAACCGAACCCTAACCTTGCTCACTGCCAGCTCTGTATGTGAGCTGACATATCAGCATGATTTACCTTTGTCAACTTTTTACTTTCTAATCTTTCTCACTTTTCTATTTCTATTGAGCCTGCCTCTCAACCCCCTACATACACATACTTCTGTACTCTCCTTTGGCCTCCCCATCTCTGCAAATGGTAATTGAGTTTGGGTCTTGTCTACTGCAACAGTGTATCACTATAATCTGTCATAACACTCTTAAGTAGTTTCCAGCTTTGCTCACCTTTGCCAAAATAAATCAAGGGGAAAAAGTTAAACATATCATCATGGGCAAAGAGTTAATTGTTTTACAGAAGCTCACTGGATATAAAGCTTTTTTAAAAAAAATGAAACTAAGGGGGCTGGAGAGATGGCTCAGCGGTTAAGAACACTGATTATTCTTGCAGAAGACCTGGGTTCGAATCCCAGCACCCACATGGCGGCTAACAACTGTCCATAACTCCAGTTCCAGGGGAGCCAATGGCCTCATCTGTCCTCCTCGGGCATAGCACGACACGGGTGCACTTACCTACAGGCAGGCAATACACTCATATGCATAAAATAAAAATAATAAATAAAATATTTTTTAAATGAAACTGAGGGATTCAAGTTCATGAAGGAATCATAATTCAGAGTCAATCGGCATCAGGGGCTAGTAAAAGCCCTTGGTCAGTCAAGTCCAGTCTTTCATTTCTTAAATGATGGATCTAAGGTCCAAAGAGCAGCAGTGACTTACCCAAGGTGATTTCAAGGAGGATCTGATTAGAAGGGGCTAACTCAGCAGGACCACTCCCGACTCCAGCTTGAGAATACTCTTCTGTGGTACTCTCATGGGCAAAGCAGCACTTAGTCTGGGTCAGAGCTGAACATACATTACCCTGCTAAACCAGACAGGTTTTTATAGTTCCTGTGTATACCAACAGACATGAAATTCATTCCACCCAGGGAAGACCATTTCAGCAACCTTTAGCAAATCCACGAAGCAGCTGGTGAGAAGAATCTGCTTTCATACACAGAGGGAAAAAAGCCCCATGCAAAATCCAGAGGAGGGTCAAATGACTTAGATGACCTTAAAATAACTAAAGAGAAAAACATAAATTGTAAACAAAACAAAATCCTTTTCTCCACTTACCAGCAAAGCATTTGGAACAGAGATTCATAGTCTTGCTGGACCTGGGACAAAAAAAGAAAAGAAAAAAAAGAAAGAAGAGCTAAAAACTCCATATCACTCTAATCCAAACAAAAGATGAAGTTCAGACAAAGAATTCCCTGGCCAGATGACTATCTAATAAGCTAATAGCAAAGACTGGCCAGCTGCCACCCACCCCAACAAAACCAAAACACACAAGTTTCATTTGTTTCTTGCATGAGCCCATGCATTACTGTATTTGCTGCAGGGAACAGCTGAGGTGTCAGTAAGTTTAGGTGTGCTGTAGGGTGTGCTATAAAGAAAACAGCCCAGGAGTCAATTATCTCATGGTGAGCACATTCCCTGTTTCTAGTGGAACACACAAGCAAGTCACTACTGCAAACAGTGGAAATGCTATCTGCAAAGGGACTTTAAACATTCTCCTCATAATTGCAGTCCTTTGATCTCTAATCCCTAGAAAGTTTCTCTCTTCTTTTCTCTCATTCTAGTCATATTTCAGATGCTGGTCACATTATGACCATGTTGTGTCAAATTTTTCCTTCAGCTGTTCCCAATCAAATTATTTTCCATGTCCTTGCATCTGTTAAAAATAGGTATAACTCACTAAGTACTAACCTGGACAGACATTTAACACATATTATCTTATTAAACATCTCCAAATCCCAAGGTGGGCATTATCATATTGCTACTTAAAAAAAAAAAAATCACACTAGTGTTTGTGTAACCTGAAAACACTACAACTGGCTACAAGTAATGAACAATTTAATAAGGAAATGTTCCCCTACCTCCTCCAAGGTACTCTTAAGCTGAGGGGTCTTAGAAAAAAGGGCATTTGCTGTCACCCCATCTGAGCAGCCTGTCCACGTTACACAGCTAGACACCTGCAGAGGACTGCCTATCTGACTGCAGGCGGCACCCCGCGTTCCCTCTGTCACAGTCAGCACCTGGTACCACACAGCCAGCCAGGGACCAAAAAGTACCCTGCTGGGTTCAAATTCCTGCTATTTCCTTTACTGTCCATGGGTCCAAGAAGACTTACTCTTAGTACCCCTCCTTCTATTTGCAGCTTTGTTCCTCAGCAACTCCCCTCCCAGGATCTGAGCCTTCGGCCAGAGTTACCCCAACAAATAGAACAATTTTCTAAAACCAATTTTCTTCTGCCTTTTTTACTAAATTTAACAATTAAAAGTCTCAGAACTAGGTCTGGTGATACACACCTATCATCTGAGCACTTAGAGGAGGCTGAGGCAGGAAGGTCACAAGTTTGAGGCCAGCTTGGGTTACATAGCAAGACTGTCTCATAAAACCATCAACCACAATTAAAGAACATAAGGTCTCCCTCAGGAAGTATTTCTTGATGTCTGTGATTGCGTTCCTTGGAGACTTAGCAGCTATTGTCACAGATGGTAAGGTGGGCAAAGGGTACCACTATTTCCCATGCGGTGTCAACATGTGAATTTTCTTTGGGATTCTACTTAATATAAGCACATAGAGGGCAATGGAGAAAATCAGGTATCAAATGAGTAAAACTGAGTAAACAGATGAAGAGATATTTACGATGACATTTACTACATACTAACTATGTGGCAGGCGCAATACTAGATTCTGTCAACCCTGTTTTACCAGTGAAGAAAGAAATGTTGCAAGAGAGCATATAGCTTGCCAGAGACTAATAAGTCAAGTCTAACTTCAAAGTCTGTTCTTTTCACCATGTCCAACATGGGGTTCTGCCTCACATAAAAGCTGAGAAATATACACCAATCCCAACCCAGCACTCTGTAGTTCATGAGAATGATCCACAACCACAGATCTGGTCACATGAAAGTCACATCTGCTCCCTGTTACAAACCTCTGCCCTCCTACACATGCACACACACACAAAGCATTTTTCCTCAGTCTCCTTGATCTCCAGATAGTTCATGTATTCAAAGTGTCCACCGTACCTCTGTATTACTAAATGGCATTCATTCTATATTCTGAGTAAGAATTTTCAGCCACGTTTATCAGTCAGGTTATAAAAGAAATAATGTAGTTTATATTAATCAAAACATTTTAAATATGAAATAAACCTACTTGGCTACAGATACAACTGTCACTGCTAAAAGCTGTCAATCTGGTTCCCATGAGTCAACAACATGAATCCAAAGGAAATGGCAGACTTCTGAGAACTTTCTTTAGTTTTTTGATGCTGCTGTAACAAGTCACTGTAAACAAAACAAACTTATTCTCTCCAAGACTTGGAAGCTAGAACATGTCTACTAGGTTGACATTTTTTAGCAATGACAAGGGCTGTTTCTGACCTCATCTTTTTTCTTCCCAGCAGCACTTAAGCAGACCTGTGCCCCTTTCTCTTTTACTTGTTACGCAGGTCCTAGGTCAAACCTAGGACCTCTTACTTCCTCTCTACCTCCTCTCACTTCCCTGATTTTCTTCCCACTTAATTATTCCCTTTCGGTCACTTTTACTGGCTTCTCTTCCACTGCCAAAACTTTATCTCTGAGCTTCCAGGAACTCAGTCCTTGTTACCTCCGCCTATCACACAGAAATCACAGGCAGCCTCGTAGATTCAATGCTGTATCTGTACATAAGATTCACATATCATCTTCAATCTCAAACCTCTTCAACTTTGTCTCATCACATATTTATGTGATGCCTCAAACTTGCAACTCAAAACACAGCCTTTCATATCAGAATTCTCATTATCCTCCCAAGTTGGCTGAACTCTCATCCAACTTTGTAAATGGTAACAGCTTCCTCCCAGTTGCTCCAATCAAAATATTCGAGGACAGCTTTAACTCCCTCTTTCCTGCAGTCTCCCAGATTACACTCATGATCACTGGCTCCACTTACAACTACACCTGTTTAAAACCTATGTACTTACCTCTCAAATTCTGTTCTGGCCACTGCTCTCACCTACGCTGTGGTACATGACTTTTCACTGTCTCCTGTTCTCTCCTGACTCTGCAAGAAGTGCTCACCCAGTGGCTAGGGCTATCTTTTCAAAACAAATTAGATTATGCAATTTTCTTTTGTTTGTTTTGGGTTTTTTTTGTTTTTTGGGTTTTTTTTTTTTTTGAGACAGGGTCTCCCTGTAGCCCCAGCTGGCCTGGAACTCACTATGTAAACCAGGCTGGCTTTGAACTCATGAAGATCTGCCTGCCTCTGCCTCCCGAGTGCTGGGAATAAAGGCGTGTGCTACCACGCCCGGCTTATGCTATTTTCTTAATGCTCTCCAATCATCTCTTGTTGCCTATAGTATAAAATCCATCTTTTAGCCAAAGCCTGGAGACCCTTTATGGTCTGACTCCGCCTACCTCCCCTCTCTTTTCTTAGCACTCAGCCCCTCCACTCACCACACTTTACCACACTGGCCTTTTTTCTCTCTCCAGAATGTGCTCACCCTGTCTCCAAGTCATCAATAAGGTCATTCAGGTCCTAGTTCAAACCTCTTAGCAGCTTTCCCCTGACTACTCAATTTAAATCAACCCCACTTTCTCTCTCACATCATACCATCCTTCCATAACAACACTTTCTTTGCTTTTTTTTTTTTTTTTTTTTTTTTTTTTTCCTGGCTCTGTTTTTCTGGAACAGGGTTTCAAGTAGCACAGGCTGACCCCAAACTTGCTATGTAGCTGAGGATGACCTGCTAATCCTCCTGCTTCTATCTCCAAATCCTGTGATTACAGATATGGGCCCAACATCTGGCTCATTAAATGTCTTTTACCACTAGGAAGGTAAGTGTCATGAAAACAACTCTCTTGGTCACTTTCAGATTTTTTTATTGTTTTTAATTTCTGTTACATTTATTTTGTGTGTGTGTGTGTGTGCGCGCGCGCATATGCACATGCACATATATGCCATGGTATGCATGTGGAGGTCAGAGGAAAATTTTCAGAAGTCAGTTCTCTCCCATTGTGGAAATTGATAAAGAGGAGGCTATGAGCCGGGCCTGGTGCCTCCCAGCACTCAGGAGGCAGAGGCAGGCGGATCTCTGTGAGTTCAAAGCCAGCCTGGTCTACATAGTGAGTTCCAGGACAGCTGGGGCTACAAGGAGACCCTGTCTCAAAAAGACCAAAAAAAAAAAAAAGAGGAGGCTATGGTAGAAGTAGTGGAGCTGATGCAGCTATGGAAGAGGTGGTGGTAGATATAATGGAGGAGGTGGTGATACCCATGGCAGTGGTCCTGCTTATAGAAGTAGAGGGGGCACTGTGGTAGACCAGGATATGGAAATCAAGGCAAACATATTGGAGGTAAGGGAGGAGAAAATAATGCTTACAACCAAAAAGGAAATGTTGGTACAGTTATCATGGAAGTGGTAACTATGATGATTCTGGAAATTATAGTAGAAAACAGCAATCAAATTACGGACTGGGGAAGCAATTTGGTGAAAGACACTCTGGTAGTCCCATGGTAGATACAGAAGCAGCAGGTTCTAAGGGCAGCAGAAAAGGTCCTCAGTTCTTAGGAGGAGAGTGTGAGTTGTCAGGAAAGCTGAGACACCTGCCTGAGATGCACTAGAGGACGGATCCCTAGTGAGAACAGTTGCTTCAGCTTCCACAGGAAACCATTCTTGTTCAGGACTGCCAGAGTACAGTCTGCAAATGTGCAGCGAGTTTCAACCTGAAACACAGTCTTCTGCCTAATGTAGCTTTGTCTTTTTGCTTTCATTACATTGAGTAAACATTCCTATAAATTATGGTGCTAGTATTAGGATTAAAACACTAAAGAATCTGCTAAGATTTGTTTCTATTATGTTCTAAAGTGTGTGTGTGTGTCTGTGTGTGGGTCTGTGTCTGTGTGTGGGTATGTGCACGAGAGCAGGTACCTTTAGAAGCCAAAGGAGTCAGATCATTTTGGAGCTAGAGTTACTGACAGTTGTGAGCTGCCCAAAATGGGTGCTAGGAACTAAGTCTGGGTCCTCTAGAAGAGCAGCAAGCACTCTCAATCCCTTAGCCATCTCTCTAGCCCCAACACCAGAAAATTTTTAAATTAAAAAAAAAAAAAGTAGCTGGGCGTGGTGGCG